AATTTCAAGCATTAATTCTCCAATAGTTTTTTCATTTAACCTTCTTTGAAATTGGCCCCTAATTTTGGTGGTATTTTGAGAAAGAGACAGAGTTTCTTGTTCTTGATTTAACATGAACAAATTCTTTAAGCAGTGGATACACATATCTATTATCAAGTAAAAGAATTATTGTCATTTCATATATTGTGAAAATTTTCAATTCTACAAATTATTTTAAACTATTATTGTCATATTTTATTTATTATATATTAATTTATTTTTTAAAATATATAAATTTAAACAAGGTATGTAATAACATTTAATCTTAAAGTTAAAATTTAAAAACTCCAATAATAATGTATTAGATAATTTATTTATATAAAATTCTATATTAATTAATTTATTAAAATATATAATTTTTTTAAAAAATCATAATTGAAAATAAATAAAATAAATTATAAATATTGAAATTCAAAATTTAAATTTAAGTGAGTTTAAATTTCAATCAATTATGTGTCATTTTTTAAGGGAGTTTCATTTAATTATTTTAAGACTTTTTTTATGGCTTTGAATTATTATTTATTATTGCTTTTTTTTTTTTTAAATTCATATAGAGTGATGCCTATTTCTACCAAAAGGTTATGTTATATTAAGATTAAAAAAAGCCCAATCAAAAAGGAAAAAAAAAGTGAAAGAGATATATAAATCAATTGAATGAATATCATACAAAAATGAAAGGAAAAATAAGAAAATTGTCACTGTAATATAAATAAATATTGAATTTTATCATTTTATTTTGATTTTATTGAATTTTGCCATTGTGTTTTTTTTAATGATTTTAAATTAAAATTAATGAAAATAAAATATTTCATAAAATGATCCACTAATATATTTAAAATAAAATTTGAATAACATATGAAATAAGACGTGAATATTTCACATGTAATAAAAATGTATATGTTGCATGCAACGTTAGAAAAAAATAATTGTTTGTTAAAATAAATATTTTTCAAATGTTAAATTTAAAATAATTTAAAATATATCTCCTTTCTGTGGGCACGACCATCTTAATCACCATGAGCCCAAGACGGGTATCAAGCAATCTGTGGGGTCAAAGAGGTTCAGATTTTGACACCTGCCACACGAACGCCGTCTTAACGGCCAACCGACACTCTGACGGAGACTGACGGGAAATCACATAAAAGACTCCAAAGGACAGCCAGTTGTCAATACATGTTCTCGAAATGGAAAATTTTTTCGGTTAGATAGACATGTGCCGTAAGAAAAACTTGACCATGTATTCTCTTGCAAAACCAAAAATATCTCACATCTTCTTGGTTTCTTTTTTTATTTATTATTCAATTTATCTTCGATAAATTTTTTAATTTCATTAATGTAGACCCAACAATTTTGAATATAATATGATAACATGATGTAAAAATAATATTAAAAAAATATATAAATATGATAAATTAAAATTTTAATAAAAAATATAAATAAAATTAATAAAATTAAAAATATATATTTTATATTTTTATAACAATATAAATTATAATATATAATTTTTATATAAAATATAATATGAATGTATAAATTTTTAATATTTTTTATTATATAAATATATGAATTATCAAAATTATATTTTTTTGATAAGAAAAAATTTAAAGGTAGATAAGTTGCAAGATGTGTTGGGTTACAAGCTTGCAATCCAATCACACCGACAGAAATAAAATCAAACAATAAATCAAACACATAAGATACAACAATTTAACGTGATTCGATCAAATCCACCTACGTTCACGGATGAAAAATAAGTTCACTAGTTGTAGAAATTACAAACATATATCAAATCATCAACTTCACTCAACAATCAATACTCATAAGACACTCTTAATCTCTTCTAGTCCTATGGAGTATTCTCAACCCAAACAATAAATCAAACACACAAGAGATAACAATTTAACGTGGTTTGATCTAATCCACTTACGTCCACGGATGAGAAACAATATCCATTAGTTGTAAAAAATTACAAACATATATCAAATCATCAACTTCACTCGATAATCAATACTCATAAGACACTCTTAATCTCCTCTAATCTTATGGAGTATTCTCAACCCAAACAAACATAAACCCAAACCCTTGTGCACCCTTTCAACATAACCAAATACATACCCATATACTCCCATACATTATACCTATGTGGATCCTCTTAATCTCTTCTAGTCCACTCATAAACAAACATACACACTTATAAGATGTAGAGCCCCTAGTCCACTCACAAACAAACATACACACTCATAAGATGTAGAGTCTTAATACTCCTATGGGGTATCTATCCCACAAAATCTTACAACTCTCTTACATCTTATTCTCATACCAAACCTTGTAGAGACTTCATCTATTTATAACCATACAAACTTGCTTATTAAAAATCTTTATTCTCTTAGAATTCTTTTCTTGTAAGTCAAACTTGCCTATTAAGAATCCATTTTCTTTTAAAATTTTTCTCTTGTAAGTCAAACTTACATATTAAGAATCTTATTTCTCTTAGAATTATTTTTTTGTAAGTTTTATTGTCCATCAAATAATATCTAACAAATCTTAAATAAATTTCTAATAAATTTCAAATAAATCTCTTATGAAATTTGAGTCAATATTTTCAACAAATATGTCGTATCTGATAATTTAAGATAGGTGATTGTAGGTCGTGCATTCTAAATAGTCCTTACAAAGAATCACTGACAAAACTTGAACTCAAATTTTTTTTTATAAAAAAATGATTTTAATCGATTAAATCAATCACTTATTAATAATTATCAAAACTATATTAATAAATATATATGTCATCCTAATTAATACTTGATAAACAATAACGAGCCTTTATTACTTTAGAAACACTTTTTTAAAGCATGAAAAGCATTACTTTACCAATTATTTTGCTTTTGTTAAAAGGGAAAAAAGCCAAAATTTTTTTTCAATTTTCTAATAAGATTCTTAAAAATATTTTCACGAGATGATAGTTATAGTAATATATTCATGCATCAAATGTCGTAATTGATAATTAGGATAATAATTTAAAATGTTTGAAAATATTATGTAATATAATAATTTTAACAAAAGCTTTTAGAACATTGAATCCAAAACTCAAATCACAAATCAAATTTTCTTTTTGTTAAACCAAAAGGATAAAATTTTAATACAAATAAAAAAAAATTTGATTCAAAATTAAAATATAATAATTTTAACAAAAGCTTTTAGAACATTGAATCCAAAACTCAAATCACAAATCAAATTTTCTTTTTTGTTAAACCAAAAGGATAAAATTTTAATACAAATAAAAAAAAATTTGATTCAAAATTAAAATTTTGATATTTTTTCAAATACTTTTAATCACTAAAGATACAGGGACCAAATCAATTACTCCTTAACTTTTTGGGTTCGATAACAATTAATGGTTGTCCTCGGGTTATAAATGGCATTAAGTTTGGTTTGTACGATGAATCTCTCTCTCTCTCTTTTTTTTTTTACATCTTAACTTTTTTTTCTTTAGATTTACAAAAAAAAAAATTGAATTTTTTTGAAGGAGACGTAATTTAAAAATAAAAAAATTATAAATATAATACATTGAATCTTAATATTTTAAAATAATAACATAAATCAACTAAATTATAAAAGATTCAACTTTTTAAGCTAAGAGATATATTTATCTATTAGTTGAACTAAACACTCTAAAATTAGGGATAAAAAAAATAAAAGAATTAAAAATTGATTCAAAATTACAATATTTGATTTGATTTATATTAATTTTTTTATTTAATTTATATTAAATTTAGATATTAAATATAAATATTAAATTCAAGTTGAATTTTAGATCAAAATATGAAAAATTAAATTATATATTTTTATTAATTTTCATATATATTTAAAATTTTTATAAAATAAAAATATTAGTTTATATATAAATCTATTAAATATATTAAAAATAATATTAAATAATATATAAAAAATTTAAAATTTAAAATCAATAAATTAAATCGAACCGATAGAATTTATTTTGGATTAAATCAAATTTAAAAAAAATCATTTTAAATTTAAATTAAAATTTAAAAATTTATAATATTATGTATAAAAAATCAAATCGAATTTGATCTGATCTAAATTATTATGATCCTTATATATAAACTTTTCTTGCATAATTAAATTTATTTATATTTATTTGTTGAAGTATTTTGAGATTTAAGTCAAGATATTAATAATGATTGGATATGATTATTTTTGACTTTGAATGTCATATTTTCTCAATCGCATGACACACGTTTTCGAGTTTCTAAACTATTAGGAGACAATAGTAATATATGATAATAATTTTTTTTAAATGATACTAACTTCAAAAAGAAGATGATAATAGAAAATTAGCAAAACAAAAATAGTTGTTTTCAAAATTTGAAGCAGGTAAAAGTGAAGAGGTGGTTGAAACATACAATTCAGGAAGTCGTAGAACCATTTCAATGAACAAACTTACAAGGAACAACAATGTGGACCTAATAAAACTAACAAATTTAATTTAATTTGAATATATAAATGCATTTATATGCTAAAAAAATAATAATATAACAACGAATTTGATTCAAGTACTAATGCAATTTCTTATTTTCTTTGTTTAAAAAAATATAATTTTAATAATTTTAAAAATAACACAATAATATAATATAAAAATGATAAAAAAATAATTTAAAATTAACAATAATTAAATATGAATTTGATACGAAAATATTTTATATATTTAAATGATATTGATACAAATTATAATATAATAATTTTTTAACTTTATATATATTTAATTAGAAATAGATATAATATAAATTTTTTTTGAATAATTAAAAAAATATATATAAAACACCCATTTATCAGTGCAGAAAATTTAATGTTCTTATCAAATGAAATGAGCCTCCGTAATTTTCTCAAAAAATTGTCATGAAATTCTCGCGATATATTGTCGGCGTATCGACAATTGACTGCACACCATCCAAAAGCTAACGGCAATCAAGAACGAACGTTACTGAGATGGCGCCACGTAGGAGAAAACTTGGGCCCGGTCAGACATTACCTAAGCTGGTTGGCATTTATTGGTTCAAACTTGAAATTGAGTTAACCATGGAGTGTAGTCAACACCTAACCCTAGTCAACAAAGCCTTTAGATTCGTAAACCATGGTTAAAAAAGTACACCCAACGGTGTACGGCTCGCATCCCCTCTCGCTGTCGAGCCAGCGCTGTAAAAGCTTAGGCAATTGCACGGCGTTATATTATCATTTCTAAATCTGTTCTCTCTCTAAATTTTCTCTTTCTCTCTCATTCTCCTGATTAGCTTATAGTTGAAGGCAGGCACGGGTTTCAACGGCGACTCCACGACAATTTGTCTCCGGGAAAGTGATTAGATCGCCGGGGAGGAGGAAGAGTTTTTTTTTTCTTTTTTTTTAAAATTAGTTTTTATTGGATTGGAATTGGTTAAGTTGTTAAGTTTCATTTGGGAAGAAGAAGAAGAAAAAATTGTATTTTTTTAATTAATTTTGAGTTATATTTTGTTGTATTTTTGGAATTTGTCGGATCTCGAAGATTCTGTTAGGTTACTACATTGGATGCAAATTTTCTGAAAATCAACCTGCATTGATAGAATTTGGAAGGATCGAAGCGGTGTCGTATTGAGGGGATGAGGAGGAGAGTGGAGATTGAGGTTGTTGCTGGAAATGTGCAGTGTTGAAGGGAAAGGGAAAAAGGGAGGGACAAGAATGGGGGTAATGAAAGGAGGAGGAGGAGGAGGAGGAGGGGAGAGAGTGGAGAAGTTGAAGAACTCGAGAATGAAGCTGTGGATGATACGCGCCACCACGTCGGTGTTGCTTTGGACATGCATCGTACAATTAACGGCCTTGGGAGAAACCTGGGGACCACGCGTCCTTAAAGGTTGGCCTTCCTGTTTTTCTCACCAGGATTCCTCCTTTTCCGTCATCGAAGACAGAGTCCCCTCCGTTCCCGCCCGTGTGCTTCCTCCCAAAAGTAAGGCTCTCCTCTCTCTCTTGATGATTTTCAACTCTTTCTGTTAACGATTTCGCAAATTCCCATTGTGAATTTCATTTGATATATTGGTGGGGTTTGAATTTGTATCAAATTTGATGCCCACCAATGTTTACAACATATCTCAGTTTGCTTGAAATTGGGTATCGTTGAATTTTTCATAAGGGATTTACTTTTATACGAATATATTGTTATTTTTACCTTCATTTTTTATTTTCATTTAAGGATAATTGGTACGTGCTGTATATTTTTCTGGTTATGGAATTTAGATTCTAAATAGTTATGATGTTTTGTTTGTTGCCATTAGGGGTATATAAGAACAATGGTTATTTGATGGTTTCATGCAATGGAGGTCTCAATCAAATGCGAGCTGCAGTGAGTGCTCTAGCCAAGGACACCAAATCTAGTTTTTTTTTTTTTTGGCTTCTTTCTAGATTATGTAGGTTCTTCAGTTGTTTTCGTGGTGTATATCTTTGTGGAAATTGATGCCATGTTCTTTCATTTTTTTGGGGTCTGCTTGACAGATTTGTGACATGGTTACCATTGCAAGATATTTGAATGTCACACTTATAGTCCCCGAGCTGGATAAAACGTCCTTCTGGGCTGACCCCAGGTGTGTTATCTAAGCTTTGCTCATATGATTGAAGCTATTGGTTATTGCGTATGTATAGATTTGGAAAGGATGGTCTGAAATTTGTTGGTATTTTTTCAACTGGGATGATATTTTTTACATACCTGTAAATATGCTTTTAATTGATATGGCAGTGAATTTCAAGATATATTTGATGTGGATCATTTCATTACATCACTGAGAGATGAGGTTCGTATATTGAAGGAGCTGCCTCCTAGGCTTAAGAGGAGAGTGGAAATGGGGAAGGTGTATTCCATGCCACCAATTAGCTGGTCTGATATATCCTACTACTATAAGCAGGTCAATTCTTTGTCATTACCAGGTCTTTAAGGCACCTAGAGCTTTTTTAGACTTTACTATAATTTAGCTTGGTTTTTTCTTCCCTTTTGAAATGTTTTTTTGTTTTCCCAGTTTTTTTCCTTCCTCCAAGACTCCTCTTAAACGATTATGCTTTGTGCTCTATTCATGCAGATTCTTCCTCTGATACAGAAGTATAAAGTTGTACATTTGAATAGAACTGATACTCGACTTGCCAACAATGGGCAGCCTTTAGATATTCAGAAGCTGCGATGTCGTGTAAATTTTAGTGCTCTGAGATTCACTTCTCAGATAGAAGAGTTGGGTAAACGAGTTATTAAACTTCTGAGGCAAAATGGTCCTTTTATAGTACTTCACCTTAGATATGAAATGGACATGTTGGCATTTTCTGGCTGTACCCAAGGTTGCAACAATGAGGAGGTGGAGGAGTTGACAAGAATGAGGTGAGCTGTACATGCATCTTCAACAATTTATTGACCAGCATGCGTAAATTTTAAAGTTTAATCTCACTCTCCTCACACAACCATTTTGGCAGATATGCTTATCCCTGGTGGAAAGAAAAAATAGTAAATTCTGACTTGAAAAGGAAAGATGGTTTGTGCCCTTTGACGCCTGAGGAAACTGCCCTTATTTTGAAGGCGCTGGACATTGATAACAGTTACCAAATCTATATTGCAGCTGGTGAAATATATGGTGGAGGCAGGAGAATGGCAAGTCTTGCTGCAGCTTATCCAAAATTGGTAAGTAGGTAGAAGTTCAGCAAACTCAATGAAATAATGATTAGGTTTTTTTTTTTCTCCTGTATCAGTAATTGGCCTTTTGTTTGTTAAAACAGGTTAGAAAGGAGACTTTATTGGAGCCATCTGACCTTAGGTTTTTTCAAAATCATTCATCCCAGATGGCAGCATTGGATTATCTTGTTTCATTGGAGAGTGATATTTTTATTCCTACGTATGATGGAAACATGGCTAAAGTTGTTGAAGGCCACCGCAGGTACTGTTCTGCTGATAGTTTTGCTCTTAATACGTTCAGAAAGGTTTTCTTGCAACTATTAAACGATTCAATGGTCCTTTTGCCTTCGAATGAGATGACTAATTTTGGAAATTCAACTTTACCTGCATTTTAAAATCCCCATTTTTTTCTCCACCATTAAAAGGGCACAATAGTTTGTTTATTTTTAGCAGCAAAATCATTGCCAAATTTTTTCTTTCTTCTTTTTCCACCCATTTTTTTTCTTAGATTCAGGAATCTTTATTTTTCGTGTTTCAAATGGTTGCAACATGAACTAAGGAAAGTTACAACTACCCTTTTTTGAGAGTGCTTTTTGTGATGTTTCTTTTCCAAGTGGTAATAGTTCTAGTGTATGCTCTTGTTTTTCATAGTTAAAGTTATTTGCCATAATGTAACAATTGTAGAGTTGAATGCTCCTTCAGATATCGAGGGTTCAAGCAGACAATTTTATTGGACAGAAGGCTTTTGGTTGATCTGATAGACCAGTACAATAGTGGATCTCTAAGTTGGAATGAGTTCTCGGATGCTGTGAAGGAATCTCATGAAAGCCGCAAGGGGCAACAGACTAAAAGGTCAGTGATCCCTGACAGGCCTAAAGAAGAGGATTACTTCTATGCCAACCCAGAAGAATGCTTGCAACCATTATATGGTCAACTAAGTAGCTCGTGATCCTTCTCTCCGGCGATTGTGATGTTTATCAGTGTTCTTTTCTAGAGTGCTAGGCATCATACCTGAAACCAAAAGGTAGTTTCTTTACACAAGTATGACGACAATGAAGGTTTTCTTCCAAGGAGACAATTGTGGAGATGATTGGGGACCGTAGCGCCCGAAGAAAAGCCTGAGGATATTGCAAAGCAGCTGGGGGACACAAATTTTAATATATGCAAATAATCAGACGCGCGTATAGAAGAGCTGCCCTGCCACTAGAGGGTAACATCAGATCAACATTTGTTGTACACAAGACGGATGCAAGTATAAATCTGGATTACCGAGACTGGATTTATGGAAAAGTTAATCCCTCACCCTTCTTGCATTTTTTTTTTTTTTTGTTTCTTTTAGATCACTTTACAATGTAGTTAGTTTCTAGCATATATCACATTCCAGAATTTATCTCGTCATGCCTTACACGAACCATTGTATCTCTTTTTAGTACTATGGCCCCATCAATGCGAGAGGAATGGTTGAAAGCATTGAATATCAACTTTACTACACTTATCTTGTAAATTAAATGGCAGGTACTTGACATTTTGGATTGTGTGACTTGGTATGTGGATGGTATGGTCGTAACTTAACAATGAAGCAATTTGTCAATTTCGCTTGTTCCATTACCAAGGTTGTTGAACTTAGTCTATTCTTTAAGCGGGCATTTTGTTTGTTTTTTTTTTTTTAAACGGTGAGAGCGTAGCATGGAGATAGAAAATAAATTGCAAGCATTAAGTTTCGAATTCATGACATCTTTTGATTGAATATACCAAATGGGTTAAACGTCTGGATTTTAAGACAGCCTAACAAATCAAGCAAGAAAAATATGCTTCTGGGAGTTTTGGTTCTTTCCATTTGGAGTGATCCATTTTTGCTATTTGTTTGATGCTATTTAGAAATACGAGCGGTGGTCTATTCGATTCGATGATGGAAAAGATTTACATAAAAATTTATACGTGAAGTTTGTTAAGGTTTTACTAGAAGAGAGTAAATAAAATTTAAAATAAAAAATAAAAATTAGATTGAAAGATCTTATTAAATAGATTAAGTATATAAATTTTGATATATTTAATAAATAAATATTTTTAATAAAAATATTTTAAAAAATTATCGTTGAATAAGTATCAATTAATTTTAAATTATAAATAATATTTTTAATAATTTTTTATATATTATTTTTTAACAATGTTTTTATATATTATTGATTTTTATATTTAATTTTATCAATTTATCAATTTAAAATTTTAATTAAATTATGTTTTTTTTTTTAGAATTTCACAAATTTATGAACTTTCTGTATGGATATAATGTAAACTATGGAGTATAAGAAAATCATTATTTCATACCCGTTAATCGTTTTTTCTGCTCATTTCTAAATATAGCTAAGCTGGCAACAATAACATTACTCCAAAAGTATTCTATAAGCATTTGTTTATTGTATCCTATGATTACGTTTTGCAAATTGCAAGTACCCGTCTTCTTTTCTTGTGATTATTCAGCTTTTAGGGCATTCACTTCAACATTAAAAAGATGATTTTGAAAGAAGGGTGACAGATTTTGACGCACACAATGATAAGAAAAAAAAATTTTTTTGACAGGTAGGGGCTCCCAAGTCCCAACAGGCGACAGCCCAACCACCAATTGGTAACAATGGACAATGCAACATTGGTTCTTGCTTCAAAAATGTACTAAACTATTTGTTTTCAAGTACCATAAAACAAAATCTACCCAGAAAAAAAAAAGAATAAAATAGGTTCCAGTTTCTTGAGCAACAAAACAAAGCAGGGTCAAGGGAAAAGACTGGTTTGGGATTTCATTGTTTTGTCCCTAAAGCCACATTTAAAGAATTGGCTTCCAAGTTCCTACCATGGAAAACAACTAGCAACTTGTAAAAGGGAAATTATTAATAACAATTATAGACGAGATAATATTTTGTTATCAAGGACGACTTAACCTCAATCATGGTGGTAATACTAAGCTTTCTCACCTAACTTCCCAAATTAAATTATTATTATTATATACTTAAAACTTATTATTTGAATTTTGATTACTGAATTACCAGTGTAACACCACCGGTAAGACTGTGAACAAATAAAATTATTATTATTATTATTATTATTATTATTATTATTATAAGACAAGTGCAAAAGGATGGATTAAGGGATTAGGTTGAACTATAGGTAACATCCTGTTAACTCTATTGCTTTATTACATCAATCTCTCGATTCATCCAATGTGCTTTGTCTGTTGATGAAGATCGTAATCCAAAAATCATATTAATTTCTAATTATTATTCTCTAAAATATTTTTTATTTTTTTAAAGCTCAGTCACTGGTCAGTTTTTTTGAAAGAGAACATTTTATTTATAATTTTTTTATTATTATCCTGCATCTATTTTACCATAATTAAAAATTATATAAGATTCCCCATTTATAAATTTAAACACTATATAAAATTTTTATGTACTTAAAATAATTTTGAATTATGCTTAATTAATTGCACTGTAATTATTATAAATAATATGCTCCCAAATAAATTTCACACAATGTTAAATTGTGATTAGTTAATTGAAGTAAAATAATTGTATATGATTTTTTTAAAAGAAGTTTTTTTTTTTGAAACAGTAATACTGATATTTTTAACTCAACAAATGAAGTTAAAAATTGATATATATTTAACTTTTTTTAATTAATTTTTTTATTTTTTTTAATATACCATTAAAAAGTGTGTGTCATGTTACTAATTCATTTGTAGAATCTAAAAATTTCAGTGACGAGAAAATAGGGTAATTTCTTATGAATTAAAATGTAATGAAAACGGAGATATAAATTACACTAAAGCTTAAATATTTTCTCCAAATAAATAAATAATGAAAAACAATGCGGTGACAAATATTGAAAATTTTGCAGGTAGGGAATTATATTAAGGAGACAATTTCTTTTGTTCCAGTAAGAGAGTTGAATCTCACCAAAAACAACATATTGACAAATAGTGACAATCAAGGAACGAAGCTTCAGATGATGGAAGCTTTAAATGAAAAGCAGCTTCTCAACATCGATATGGTGAAGAATCACACAAAATATAAGATAAATAACGCATATTTGTTTGCTGGGAATTCTATGCATATATCCCAACAAAACTGAAAGCTTTGCCAACTAGTTGTATATTTATATATATGGATCCTTGTCTAGGGCAGGGTGCTTCAAAAAAATGAATTAATTTTTAATTTAAAAAAAAAAAAAAAGAATATTGTGAAATTGTCAAGCTACCTTTTTCATGTCTTGAGTTTCTTTAGGGGATGATCGGAATCCTCACCACGTCCGACTCTACGACGCGTCGTCCGTTGATTTGTAGATGGAGCTTCTCTATCCTAGAGCAAACAGAGTAAATAGGGAAGAATTAGTTTGAGTTACTTGTTTTTACATGATGAAAATATTGAAATAAGATTGCTAGCAGCAATGGCAAACAACCTTAAGTGTGGATGTTGAAGCAGTAGGACTGTTACTAGATTGCTTCCCGAGCTCGATTTGCACTGAGATGGTGGCACGTGACAAATCCACTCCAGAAGTCTGCAGCGCTTGTGTTAGAGTATTCAACAACCTGTCAAACACATTGATCACTTAACATATCATGTAAACTGAGATCAAAGCACTTAAGAGGAATTTAAGACAATGACATCATAGCCTCGTTGGTCCTTAATGAAAGTTTGAGATCCTGGACTTGAGTTTAGGGCACTAAGCTGGGGTGGATAAAGGGATTAACAAAACAAAACTGAAAGAAGATTCAAAACAAAATGTTCGTCCTGAATTCAGAATGAAAGGGGAAGGAAGAAAAAGAATGAAACTTTGACTTTTCTGAAATAGAGGTTGTGATGGTGCTTGTCAAAAAGGGACAAACCAATATCATGCAACCATCTCGATATTGCTACTGAAACATGTATTCCCAAATACTAAATGGAAATTCATTCTCCAGGGAGATAAAAGAGATTCAGTTATGCTTTCCCTGTAGCAAATCTGTATACATAAGATAGTTAAGACGTAAAGGGAAAGATCAAGAATGATGAGTCCGATCAAATAGTTACTGAGAAACATGCCCCCCCCCCTCCCCTTCCCCTTGTAAAGAGAGTGGACAATGTGCGAAGAGTATAGCGGTGCCATAAAATCAGGGAGGAAGCTTGATCTGAATAGGTGCTAAATGTGATCATTTCAGTTGAGGATCTCCATTCTGTATATATTGGTATTCATGGGGCAAGAAACTACGATATTTGTTCCAAGTCTTTTAACAATAACGATGTACGAAAGACAAAACAATTAGATCATTCATCGAACTAAAACATAAAAAGTAAAAACTCACCCTCGTGAATATATGCTTGAGATGCTAAAATTTCCACCTTCAACTGTCAATTCTTGTTCTTTCGGCTTCTCGCTAGGAACAGCACCATTAGTAGTACAGGATCCAGCATGACATAGTACAGATTGAGGCTGAGATGAACTGTTTTCGGCATCAGAGGGCAATCTAGGTTGAAGTTGAGTTGCCAGACCAGTGCTCTGGGCAGAAGTGAAGAAGTTTGGCTGTAGTGACACAGGAAAGGGCGTAGTCTTATTCATCATTCCAGGATAAAGGTCAATCGCTCTGAAGGTAGTAGCTGTGCTCATATCAGATTCTATAGGGTTTTTTGCACTTATTCCAGGAATGGTTGGGGTGACGGTGATGTTTTTATCTTCCAACTTTGCAGAAAAAACTACGGCAGGAGCAGACAAACCATTTTTAGCTCGAGATTGATCAGCATAATTTTCTGTGGGCATGTTATTGTTTCTCTGTTTCAGACGAGGTCGATGATCAGTCAGTCATTGAACAATTGCCGATGCTCATAAACCAGAATGCCAAAAAAAAAATCATTGGATGTTCAATACAGCCAAGTATAGAATTTACCCATGGCATCAATTTCGATGGTTTATGGCTCCATCCTTGATATGTTCCCTCATACTTGTGTACTTTTTCCTGTAAAAACTGAATGTACTCGACAACCTGAGAAGATTGAACAACCATTGTTCAAAATTTTGAAAACTGTAGACAGAGAAAGAATAATCATAACCATTACAAGAAACCTATGTACCTCTAATAAGAATGAGGCTTTATCTCTCTTTTGGTCACTATGAGGAATGACATCTCTCAACATCTGAAATCTGCCAAAAAACTGCTAGATGTTAGTATATAATGGTGATTTTGTATCAAGAAATTTCCACTTTTTAGCTACTAAACAGCATTTAATTTCTAATTTCACTTTGACAAAGACTTTCAAACAATCATAATTCATAACCATCCGCAAATCCACATGAAATTCCCGTAACTAGTATGTGAAACAAATGAAGATATTTTCTTGATGCATGGATTTCTTGTTCATTGCATTCTAAAATAAACAAAAGAAAATGGTAAATTTAATATTTTTAGAATCTAGAACTTTCACAAGAGGTCTCCATCACAGATAAAAAGTAACCAAAAGGGTTCAGTACTCCTCAAAATTATTTTTTTCGAGGATTTTCTGGTGAGACCAAAGGGATACATTCAACATTAAAAATCAAGTACAGCAGAGACCTCACCAAATATATTTGTTCATGAAATAAGATATAAAACTCATCCAAATTTAAAAGAAATAGGCTAAGAAATATTAAATGTGAAGCCAGTTATAGTTATACTTGCCTGTCATTAATTTTGCTTCTTCTCCGCTGCTCAGTAGCAGAATGTTTCGACCTTGGGGTGTTGGCCTTCTGATCAGGTGTACTCTTTCCATCCACTTTTACTCCCAATTCTCCTGTAAAAAGAAGCCAAATTATTAGGCCATCAAAATACTTCAATAATTCTATTAACACCCTCAAAAACTACTGTCCCCAGATCTTACTACCCTTATAAAAACCAAGAAACATTTTTATTTAAGTTCTCTAGTGTTTACATTAATAAACAGCACTCAGAGTAGTGTAGTCGAAGAAAAAAAATTACCTTTACTATACGTAGTAGCGGAACTCTCTTTCTTGAGAACAAAATTTTCAGCTTCTTCAAAATCATCATCATGTGAACTATCTTTTGCTGATTTTATCATTTCCATGAAGCTTTGGCTTTTCTGCTTTGATGATGGCCTGTTAATAAGATTCCATTGACACCCTTAATTTTTAACCCAGAAATAAACAAAAATAAAAGAGCTATAAAAGAAACGAGAACAGAAAGTGACTGACTGAGAAGAAGAGAGGGAGCTGAAGCTGTTGCGATGGTTGTTAGTTGACGACTGTGACGCCCTCTCCAACGACGACGTAGCCCATTGCCCCGCCGCTTCTGTCAAAAGTATCCGCCAAAGTTATATTTAGTTAACGAACATAACAGCTTTTTATGCCACATGGGTTGGATCGATATAGCAGCGGCCTTTATTTACTGGAATAAAATCTTTTATCCTAAGCATACGAAAACATATGTCATAAATAATACTATCACGTTTTTATCTGTAAATTTGGTTTAATAATATTATCACATTTATCTGTAAATGCCCTTGGGACTAATGCAGGCAGGAACTAGATCCTAGCAGTGGTTACTTGTGCATGACAATTTCAAAATGAAATACCAGGAGTAAAGAAGTGTTGCAAATATAGAATAAGAAAATTTTTACCTTTAACAACGGGTGTTGCCCCGGCATTCTGCTTCCCTGTATTTCCCTTCTTTCCTGCAGATTCTTCCCACAAAGTGAAACCACTTCCATTGTAAGAGCTGCAGTTGGAGTTTTCGTCATTTCTCTCTGTACTACTTCCTTCAGCTGCAGTGAATACAGCCCCCTCAGTCTTTGGAACCCTAGGATTAAAATAGGAAATGTGGCTTATACTGTAAGTTCCAATTCCACCAGGGAGAATTTGTTCCACAGAAGGAGGTGGTGATGGCGTTGGTGGCTTTTCAGAAGTTGCTACCTTGACTGGTGTTTCCTCCTTGGCACTTGCCTTCCCCAGTCGTTCCAGTTGTAAGAAATCATGAGTTTTAAGATACCCGCCTGCTCATTCAGACACAATCAAACAATGTAAAGCAGGGATAAGGAAGACCATTCAAGTGTAGCATTATATACTCGATCGTGTGATCATTCAATTTTTGGTACAGGAAAGTAGTGATTAATCAGCCACGTAAAACTCCAAATTGGCAATTAAAAACGAAAATAACTAAGTAGACAATTCCTTTTTTCTATTTTCTTTCTTTTGCTTGGCTGCTAAATGAATGAAGATTTACGATCCATTTGTGAGATATTATTTATTTTAAGTAAAAAGTTTTACGATTTTATTAAAAAAAAAAGTCTCATATACAAGTCTCCACAAATTATGATGGATCTTTTGCAATATTCAATATGGGATTAGAAGGTTACACCAAGATTATAACATAGAAATCATACCAAAAAAACATATGATTTCTTCATATATGCTGCTATCCACAACAACTCAGATGGAGACATGGTGGATTGGTGATCAGAGGAAACAAACTACCAATGAAATACAGTCAAATTAACAAAATAATTATACTTGCAAACAAACAAAAATCTTTTTGGTTTTTCTTTTTTTTTTGGTCTAAATTATTTAATGATTATTAAAAATTCATGCTTAAAAAAGGAGTGAACACACAATAAATAATAGTCTTAATAATAATTCAAATTAAATTTTATTGATTTCTTTGTGTTCTAGAAGCAGCATGCTACAAATATATTAGGCACTTACGAATTAAAAACAAAGGGCGGGTTCTATTTTCACCCAAAAAGAAAAAAAAGAAAACAGGGTGGGTTCAAATTACAGCTTAATTAAAAAGGTTGACCCACTCATCTCCATCAGTTTCACGTGTTAGGCATTCTCATCACACGGTTTGGGTTGGTGTTCAAATTAGAATCAAAATTTTCATTAATCATCTATTAATAGTAATAAATATTATATAATAAAGAATAAATAAAACCGCAATTATCAACATTATTTTATATAAAAAAACCTTTTTTTCTTGGCTTGTGTTTTTTACATTAGAAAGTATATATAAAAAGAAACTAATTTATTTCAAGATATAATAAGTCTTAAGTTATTATTCTATTTATTTATATTTTCAAAATAAAAAAAATTAAATTGAATCGAATTATATATTTTTTTAATTTATATATTTGTTAAATTTTATAAAATAAAAATAATAATTTTATATCAAAATTTATTTAAATATATTAAAATAATATATAAAATTTTAAAATTTAAAATTAATAAATCAAAATTTTAATTTAATTTAATTTAAATCAAATAAAAATTTGATTTGAATCAATTTTTAAAATTTGATAATATTATATAATATTTTAAAAAATCGAATTAAATTCGATGTGAAATATTATCACTCCTAGTCTTAACGTCAATTAAAAAAAATTGCTTAAGAAAATCTTTAAAAATATTCTATATTTAGTTAGACAAATTCCATCGACTCATATGTATATACATATACGTAAGGAGAGTAAGGAAAGGAAGAAAGGAATGAAGACAGAAAGAAGTGAGCGTGCAGGTGTACAATGGAAATGAGGTGGTGATGTGAATCATGTGGCTTGTCAAAATCATCTCCATCTCCAATCATGGGTCCCATTCCCCCCTCAATCCCCCCCTCCCTCTCTCTCTCTCTCTCTCTCTCTCTCTGCCTCTGCTAACCTAAATTTCTTCCCGACCTTTTCTTTCTTTTTTCTGATTTTCTCATCTATCTCACACTTTTTTTTTCTTTTTTTTATTTTTATTAATAGAATTAAATTTCTTACAATGGGCGGTGGGCCCATCTAAACTTTAATTGACCCATGATCCACTCATACGGAAAAAATGCGGTCACGTGCATTACACCAAATTCTCATCCCTAAAAAAACATAAAAATAAAACTCTAAAGATATTTTATTTATTTCTTTTTTTCCCTCACCGTCATGTAAATGTAACAATAATATTATTATAATAATAAATGAAAAAAAAAAAAGAAAATTTAGGCAAGAAGAAAAATAGAAAAAAAATAGTAGTTAGTTTGTTCTTTTTCTTTTTTTTGGAGGATCTTAAAAATAAGAATAGAAAGAATTACCTTGAGAAGGTGGGCTTGGATCTTGTTGGACGCTTGGATGACTGTACAGTGACAGAAAGTCATGCGTTGGTTTCCTTTCTGTTCTTCCAAAACCAAAATTATTATTAATTAAAACTTGTAATTCACAGTTTTTTTCTTTTTTTTTTTCTGGATTTTATCTAGTAAAATGGAAATAAATCATTTTGAAAAAATAAAAATAAAACGACGTAGTAAAATAAATTTACCTTCGGCTCCGAATGGCCGGGGTTGAGGGAGCTCCATCTATGGCTTCAGATCTTTTTTTTTTTTCTTTTGCAGCGAAACTTTGGATCAGAAAATATAATTACGTTATGTAATTTTTGACGAGCAAAGTTCAAAGCTCTACGGATTTCGTCCAGAAAAACTTACGCCTCCACCTCAGACTGGAGGCGCATTTACTGAAGCTTTAAAAATAAAAAGGCTTTTCAAGCAATCGACTTCAGATTCCAAAATTCTCAACCGTAATTAACTTGGACGCTTCAGCTCCGAAAGATCTTCTTAACAAGTTTTACTGACCAAACCGGAATTGTATTTCTTGTCACAGATTCTGCCAACAGAAAATATCTAACTTATACAGAAACTCGACACCTTCAAAGCTAAATGACCTGTAAAATTCAAAAAACTAATTCAGACAACAATTGAAGAAGAAACTTTTCCAAGCACAGAGTAGGTACCTTCTTTGATCTGAACTGATACGATTTTAACGTGGAATTTCAGCGAAGGAATGATTGAACTAACGAAAAGAAAACTGAATTGTAAACACTCAAGCAAACTCGAAAAGTAAAACGCGTAATAACGCAGCTACCGAGTATCTCCTTCGAAATTCGACCACCAAACCTAAAAAAAATCTCTTTCTTTATAGAGATGAAGCAGTTCGGCGAAAGACGATGCTGTGGGTCGGAGAAAATGAACTCTCTCTCTCTTTCTCTTTTGTTTTCTTAAGCGTCCGCTACCTTCACAGATCTTTTTATACCATTTTTTTTAAATTTTTTGCTTTTCCTTTATTTGTTTGATTTTTTTATTTTTTAAAAGAATGGTTTTGTTAACGGCGTTGAAGTAACGACGTTGCGGCGGGTTGACGACGTTAATCCCCAGGTTGGTTGCCTGTCATTTGGGTGTGGCATGCTATGGATCACGAAACTCAATATTTTAAAATTTTGTGATTTTTGTTTTTATTTTTTTAAAATTGAGGTTTTTTTTTTGCAATCCTGATTGTTTCCTCCGTCCCAAAATAATTATCCTCTATTAATTTTTTTTCAAAATAATTTTATTTTGATTTTATTTTTTGAAATATAATATTAAATTAAAACTTTTTAAAAATATATGTTTTAAAATTTTTGAAACTCAAATTGTACAAATCTTATTTTTAAATATTTTTTAATTTAATTATTTTATCAAAAATAATGATCAAAATTAAATTAGTTTGTCCAAAAAAATTAATAAGGTGGCTAAGGTGGCTAAATTCAAGTGTCTTAGCAGCAGCTTAATTAGGTTTTATTTTATTTAACTCGCCATTGCCATCTGTTTTTCCTTAACCTCCCCTAGATTTAACTTTGAGAGACGAAACCAGTGGACTATGATAAGTATTTATAAAAGAGAAATTATCACATATGCTAATAGCAAAATTTTTTAATTTCACAGATGATATTAAAATATTGATATATATTTTTTATATATTTAAAAATTTTAATTAAAAAAATAATATATGTTATCATTTGAATTTTTATTTATGAAATTAAAAAATTTTACTATTAGTATATCAAATAATTTCTCTTTCAAAAATATGTGTTAATAAATTTTTTTTTCGTGATTTGTTTATAAAATGTTAAAATTTTAATTTAAGTGATAAAAAATAAAAATAATAAATTTTTTTTTCGGCTTTGTTGCAATGAAAAAATTTATGTATATACATAAAAGAAAATTAAGACCAATAAAACGCAATGGACCCATTGTTTTGTACATTCAAAAAAAGAGTGAAGAAGAAAATTGGGTAATATTTTCCCTTTCTATTCAGTTTTGGATTTTTTTCTGAATTTGAATACATGACAGAAGACTTTCCATTGGGAAAAGCATATAAAAGTGCATCTCAATTAGTTTTTATAGATTGACATTTTGTTTTAAATTTGATACGAATATGATTTAAAATTATATTAATAATTATATATAAATTTAATAAAATAAAAAAAATTATATTTTATATTGACATAAATTATAATACATAATTTTTATATAAAATATAATATAAATATATATTTTAATATTTTATATGATATAAATATACAAATCATCAAATTTACTTATACTCTTATTCACTATGATATCATCTTCACAAGGATATGTACCAAGATTTTTTAATATATTAATTTTTATTAAATTATTTTTAATAATAAAATTACAAACTTAGGCTCTCTGTCTCATGCCATTAAGGCCAGATCCCAACCCCACATTTCGCCGACTTTTAAACCTCAGCCAAACATAGGCGACACAGCAAAAATGACTCACGTGATTAAAATGACCGTGCAACTTGTAACATCATTGTCTTCACATAAATTATAAACTAGAGATGTTAATTGGACCAGTCGAATTAGATTATTTCAGATTATATAAATTAAATTATTTGGAATTTTGATAATTTTAAGTTTTTTTTTATCGAGATAAAATAAAAAATAAAAGAAATTATCTCATTTTCAAGATTAAAATAAATTAGTAATTCACAAAAAAAGTATAATTTTTTTAAAAATTTTTAATTTTATAAATTATTTACCAATATAAAATCATAAATATTCAAATTTGAATGTTTCGGATTAAATCAACCATCATTCATCCCTACTCGAAAAAGGCTGGGGTAACGGAGAAAAATTCACGTGCAGCCCCTAACATCTCTGTCCTGTGACTCTATTCCTTTACCCTTTTAGCCAGGCATGGGCCACCATGTGCCAGTTTAGATTCTCACCCATATACTTCGCTACTTTTAACCCTCGCTACTTAACTGCTTCTGGAGGTACCTTTGAAAACTTTTTAGGGGGTGTTTGAAAAGGAAGAATTCATAAATTTTTTTTTGAAATTTTGATAGTGAATTTTTTATTTTTATATTTGATTTTAAGTAATTCGATTATAAAAAAATAATAAAATTTTAGAATAAAAAAATTATTTTTTACAATATTTTAAAATTTTAAAAAAATTATTTTATTTTTAAATTTAATTTAAATAAAAAATCATAAAATAATTATTATTATTTTTAAAAATATGTCTATAAGTGAATTATTCTTTATCATGTGCCGAGCTGAACTATTCTTTCTATTTTCCTTCTCATTTGGTTCAACTCATTTTTTATTGGATGAAAATATGAGAGGAAAAATATTACCTTACAAGCTAATTTCATTTAAACATAAAAAATTTCAATTTTTTCATGCATTAATAATGGGCCATGAAAAGTAATTTCACCATATGATAACCTTATTTTGGACGTTCAAAAAAAATAATGACTCAAAGTTTAATAAAATAAAATTTGTTAACATTGCACGGAATCAATATCAATTTTTTATGTAATTTCTTTAAATTTGAAAATAATTATGTTTAAATTTTTATTAAGCTATGACACACACAAAATTATTACCTCATTCGTCGATGATTTTGAATTTAAATTTTATTAATAATATATATATGTATATTGTTAAAGTGACGTCATTTTATATATAATAAATATATAATTTTTTATAATTTTATATTTAAGTTAGATTTTTTTACTTATTGTCAATTAGTTTTAAATTGAATACTTAATATGATATCGGAATTAATATTTATTTTTATTTCTCTTTTCAAATTTGTCATTGATAAGTTTCTTTCATCTCTGTTTATATGTAATGAGCATGTTAAAGTGATATTATCTCATATCTAATAAATATTTAATTTTTTATAATTTTATGTTCAAGTCGAGCTCCTCTATTTATTGTCAGTTAGTTTTAAAGTTGGATAATTAACATACACACACATATATATATTGATTTCATTAAATAAAAAAAATGCAAATATTTGTGCCATGAATAAGTTATTTATCCCCAAATTTGTTGTAAAATAAATAAATAAACAAAGTTAGGGATTTCCTCCAATTATAATATTTACCATTGATCCATCTTGATTATAATTTATAAAGAAAATTTTTCATTTTGTGATGTTTAAACGTTATAAAGTATACCAATAATCACGTGATCTAATAATAAAACGTTGAACTCTTAATTTCAATAATTTTAAATATCGAAAAATTATTAAGTATGAGAGGACAAATGGTTAATTGTTTAAACTACGATAATCAAGGCGAGCATATTCACTTAATGGTGCTTAGCATAGGTACAATGGAACAGCTTGGCGTGACTTTGTAAAAATTATATATCTTTCAATCACAAACAATTCTGTTATTTAAATATTATTACATTTAAATAAGTAGAACGTGGCTCTTCTTTCATACTTTTGTACCATGTTTCTCTATATTATACTCTCATTACACCTAATTTTCCACTTTTGGATCCACTAATTCTCTACCCTTTCTTTTTTTTTTTTTAATTTTTTTTATCAAATACCTCTGCCAATTCTTAGAAACTTCCTTTCCATGTGTACATCCATGCCATTTTCTTTCCTTTTCCCCTAAAAAAAAAAAAAAACTAATTCTTCTTTCATTTTAAATATAATTAAAAAGTATATATATATGAAAATTATTTTGTTTGCTGTAAGTGAAATTTTTAAATTTTATAAGTCGAATTAGTAGGATGATACATATTTCTTACATATTAAAAAAATTTATTAAAATAAAGTAAATTATAAATCAATCTCTTAACTCGATCTGCTTATGAAATTAAATAATTTCACATTAGTGTATAAAAACGAAATTTCGATATATTTATATTCACTATATAAAAAGATAGTAACATGGGGAACCAGCTCTACTTTATTCAAGCCAGTTAAAATTGTTTGTCTCAAATATGCTTAAGGACAATCCTTCACGTTCTCGTACCTCTCTTTCCTCCCTCAACACTCAACACCAAAGAATAGGGATAACAAAAAAAAAAAAAAAAAAAGGAGAGAAACATGCGTCTTTCCATTATAATTTAATAAAGAAAAACATGGATTATTGTAATTTATGTCTTGAAATGAATTATAGTATAAAATTGAGAGACAAAATCTTTACTTATCATGGATATAGAAATCTTAATGTATATTAGTTTAAAGTTAGAATAATGATTGAACAAGATTTTGGACTCATTAGACCCCAAAAATCAAATAGAAATTTTTTTTTCTCAGTTATAAATTTAAGAAAGAAAAACTATATATGTATAAACACTACTTTAAAGTTGAATGTAGGAATTTGGTATTAGATTCGAAAAGAATTACTCAATTGTAGAACTAATTATTCCAAAAGCTTTTTAAAAATGCTTCTGATTTAATATTTCAATATTTGTGCTCACACACACATATATATATATATATATAATTGAGGAAATCGGATAACAAATTTTGGGAGCCGAGAATTGATTTAAATGTTAAACCTCAATCATCAAAAGGAAGGTGTTGGTGCCAAACTCCAAGCTTAGGGTAAAAATCCTAAAATCACAAGGAAAAAAAAGAGCGGTTAAGAACAAAAGCAACGGGTGTAAGGTAGGGAGAAATCACCATGGTTAGCTCGAAAACACTCTTTGTCTTTGCTCTTAATCGTTTTCTTTTTCTCTCGTGATTTCAGAATCCTTAATCTCAGTTTGAAGCTCAGCACTAACATTTGATACACCAAGTAGAGAGTGTTCCCTATGTTTGCGCTTCAATTCTCAAGTCAAAGATCGATTGGAGAGAAAAATAGGAAAGTAAAAAAAAAGTTCGATCAAATTGATAATACTTAGGTGGCTCTATTTATAAATGAAAGGTGAGAAGTTTGTGGGATACGATAATGACGTAACCAAGCTAACGTAGCATTTTACTTGTTTGGTCGGTCCAAAAATAAAAAATATCTT